TTAATCAAATGAACATCAGATGATTATAAAAAGCGGAAATAAAATTGAAGAAGTATTTTGTAAAAATATTCATTAATCGTAATTCCGGCCTTGAGATCTTCATTCTTCATGCTTGATTCAATTTTTAAATTTGATTCAATTCTGGCTAAGGAGGGGAGACCCCTTCCCTTCTCTATCTACCTTCCATCTCTCCCTCACTCCTTCCCTTCTCTATCTACCTTCCATCTCTTTTCCCTCACCCCTTCTCTATCTACCTTCCATCTCTCCCTCTCCTCTTCCCTTCTCTATTTACCTTCATATCCTTTTCTCCCCATCCCTTCTTTTCTCTACTCTCTGTTTGAACTCTAAGATCAGATAACATGTTGTCTAAATTTCTGACATATTTTCCACCAAGTTTTCCTCATCCTGCTAAATTCAAGTATATGTTTAGACTTTACTGAGGGGTTTGGTTCAAATATCAAAGTGAATAAAAAATATCTAAACTTGAATCTCCTTCCTTTCACCCTGTATTCATAAAGTAGGTTCACCCTGTATTCAAGTATGTTCACCCTGTATTCAAGTAGGTTCACCCTGTATCCTTGCAGTACTAGAAAGAATACTATAGATCTCAATCAAGATTTTCCAAATATGTAAACTTGGTTCAGCAGATTGTGTCTTTTACAAATGTTGGTGCATTAAAACATGTTTGTTAAAATTATCCAGAATCCTTTTTGACCCCCCCCCCCCCGGCCACTTCATGAAAATATAGTAAAATCGTGAAGTTTCCTTGCTCTAAAACGTCATTTTTTTGTTGCTGTCGTAAGAAATTCAGAGTTATTTCTAAATCTATATAATAGAGCTCTTCGCTTGTATATATATATATTTGTACATATATTTATAGCTATTTATTAGCTATAGCTTGCCAAACGACTGAACTAAATTGCCTGAAATTTTTGAGGGAATCCTCGAGAACCCCGGGGTTCACAAAGGCTAAAGAAAATTAGATTTTTTTTTCGAAATTCAAATTATTTTCTTCAAGATTAGATTTTTAAAAAGTATTTCTAAAATTCCATGCCGGGCACTTCTGTTAGTTTTAAAATAAATTTCCTTGTCATTGTTTTTTAACATTCTTCCTAGAAATGCGCATTAAACTTTTTTTTGTAAACAAATGGAGATTCTTGTCATAGTCTACTTTCCGTGGCAATACACCCTGTTCATGTTTGTGCGTACAGTTTATGTTTATGTTTACGCATGCGTAATGTTTTTGTTTAAACATATATGTTTATGATTGTTTGGTTGTGTGGTTGCATGCACGTTTTACAGCATACACTATCTGTCTTCTTTGTAGTTTTATCTGTCCCTTCTTTAGGCCGACACAAGGGGCCTGGGGATCCAGGGTGAGGTAGAAGACACTATGGGCCAAAGTAACCAATTAAGAGAAGCATTATTGTAAGTTTGTTTGTATGTAATTTTTTAAATAAACCTTTAGTTGTTTGATTCTGTGTTAAAATTTTTCAATTTTGGCCAATTTGCTTAAAATATTCATTTTTTATGTAAAAATGTTCGTTTTGAGCAAATTACGCAAAAAAAAATTCGCAACAACGCTCAAAACTCATTGCGGTTCTTACGCAAAATATGCGCAAAAGTTCGCATAAAAAATTGCGCGAAAATAACGTAAATTATGCGAAAAAAGCATAGTCATTTCGTGGAAACCCTAGGCTCAATCCAATATTTCCTCTCTTTATGTTCAGGTGTCCAAATCAAGCGAGAAAGATATTTAGAAGAAACATGGGAAAAATCTTTCTCATAAATATGAAACTGAAAATGCAAAAATAAGCTCTGCTAAGTATCTTCAAAAGGACAGCTGTGAAAGAATTTTTACTAGAATTATGTTTAATAATTACATATATTCGTGTAGTTTCAGTTTCTATGTATATAGAGGAGGTTCTTTTAAAAATTTTAGCTTTGAACTTTGAAAATCACCATTTTTAATCGAACCAAAATTTTTGCAGATTTTGTCTGTTTAAATTGGTGAATTAAAAAAAATAAACTTTGAAATATTTTCCGGTGTCATGCTAGTCATGCATATGGAGCATACTCCCCCTAAAGTTTTAACCATTTCAACACAATGCTAGACTTGAAAAGTATTTTTATGACATTTTCCGATATTTCCTAATGAAAAAAAACACATTAAAATATATCTATGTCTCGAGTGTAAATATTAATTGTTTGATGATTTGAAAGGAAAACGACATTCAAGAGGAAATAACCTTTTTTGTCTTCACCCCCTTCCAAAAACATATAACAAAAAAATTCGTATTTTATATGTGTCAACTAAGAATTTTTAATTTTAATTTTAATGCAAGAGTCCGCTCCATGCAAGAGTCCGCTCCATGCAAGAGTCCGCTTCATGTAAGAGTCCGCTCCATGCAAGTGCAAGAGTCCGCTTCATGCAAGAGTCCGCCCCATGCAAGAGTCCGCCCCATGCAAGAGTCCGCCCCATGCAAGAGTCCCCTCCATGCAAGAGTCCGCTCCATGCAGAATACCTGGCAAAATCGCTCAACTTCAAACAGCCAAAAACCTTCTCTGGGATCATGTGATTTTCCTCAAATACTTGGGGCTTGTTCGGTTCTGCCGTTCTTACGTTTATTGGACACAAACAAATAAACAGACAGACCTGACAAGCAAAATAAATATATTTTTAGAAGGAGAGGGTGAGGGGGTAGGGAAACGGGGCCGGGGGGGCTAAGGAAGGAGGAGCGGGGGATAAGGAGGTGGGTTAAGAAGATAGGGAGGAGGAAAGGGACTAGAGAGACCGAGGGGGGGGGGATTTTTAAAGACCTGGGGGGCGTATTTAATTTGATATCCGGGTGGTATGGATGGAAGGGGGGGGGTTTAGGTACCAGTTCGAATCTTATTGATAGTAAAACTAATTCCAACCGTGATCTTAACCTAGAGATAGACATCATACAGATAGATAGATAAATGACTAGATCCTACAGGGTGTCCCAATAGACATGGGAATTAAGTGACGACTTCAACATCGTCTTTGTTCCTCGTGTTTTTATTACGTGAACACAATTTTGTAGTATTCCAGTTAAGGCATTTAACAATCAAAATTATTAGTCTTGGTAATTTCAAAATGTGGTCTACTATTTGAGTCTTCCAAAATTGACGGAAATATTAAGAAATCTACCAGATTTCAATTTGTGTTCATTTGTACACCCTGTAGATAGATTGATAGATAACTTTGAAAAGATGTAAAGAAGATGGATAAGGTCATTGTTAGAATATATGATATTGGTTTTACACAAATTACGCATACAGGGTTACCCACAAAGGATGAGACTTAAGAGACAATTGTACGGAATTCATATTGTCTGTTTCTTGATTTCTTGCAACTGTAAACTTGTTTGTTTCTTTGCCAAATCATTAAATAAGCCATTAGATAACAATGTCTAAGACAAAATACATGATTTAATCTTAGGATCGTCACATTAAAATGTTTCTGGTCGTCTTCACAGTCTCATCCTTAGTGAATTATCCTGTATACAACTTTTTTATTGAATTATATTATAGGAAGGGCAATGCAGACGCTGGATTTTTTTTGCAAAAGCGATTTTACCCTTTTTGGAAACATAGATAATACTTTTAGGACTTTTTGGAAACATAGATAATACTTTTAGGACTTGGAAACAAAGATAATACTTTTAGGACTTTTTGGAAACATAGATAATACTTTTAGGACTTTTTGGAAACATAGATAATACTTTTAGGACTTTTTGGAGACATAGATAATACTTTTAGGACTATTTGGAAACATAGATAATACTTTTAGGACTTTTTGGAAACATAGATAATACTTTTAGGACTTTTTGGAAACATAGATAATACTTTTAGGACTTTTTGGATCATAGATAATACTTTTAGGACTTTTTGGAAACATAGATAATACTTTTAGGACTTTTTGGAAACATAGATAATACTTTTAGGACTATTTGGAAACAAAGATAATACTTTTAGGACTTTTTGGAAACATAAATAATACTTTTAGGACTTTTTGGAAACAAAGATAATACTTTTAGGACTTTTTGGAAACATAGATAATACTTTTAGGACTATTTGGAAACAAAGATAATACTTTTAGGACTTTTTGGAAACATAGATAATACTTTTAGGACTTTTCGGAAACATAGATAATACTTTTAGGACTATTTGGAAACATAGATAATACTTTTAGGACTATTTGGAAACCTAGATAATACTTTTAGGACTATTTGGAAACATAGATAATACTTTTAGGACTATTTGGAACATAGAATGTTTGGAAAATATATTTTCCATAAAAACAAGAGTTATTGGATTGTTATATGGACCATCTTCTAAGGTTTTAATCGAATAAAGTTTGTTTCAAAGAAAAAAATCTATCATTTTGGAATTCAAGGACATCGTGGTCCAATAAGAGTATTTCTCTGTCTACTACAGTGAAACCCTTAATAACGAATACATTGGAAGAATTTATCAAATGTCGTCTTGACAATTTGCGAAAATAGATAAATAGCCATGGAATATGCGGGAATAGTTTTAAATAGTTCCATATTATCATTTAATTAAAAAACTGAATATCTGCAAAATTCCATTATCAGAAAGTGAAGAATACGACATTTATGCATTCTTTCGATGTATTCGTTATTAAGGGTTTCACTGTATTAAAAAAGTGTTAGAAACCTATGTATAGGTTGAAGCCTATACCCCCTTTCTTTTTTTTTCCTTTACATGCATTTCCTAAGGCTTTCATTGAACAAATAAAAGATGTACTCTAAGATTATTAAGTGTTTTCTGTTTTATAATAAAAATATTTTATAATGTTTATCTCCCAAGGTAAAGATAACAAAGACTTAAACCTGTGAGACAAAAAAATAAAAAAAGCAGATTATAAACAACAATTGTTTCTTATACTATTTTTCGAACTTTAATAGCGGAATATCTTAGAACTTTTTCTCAAATAAATGTTGTATTTTTATTTTTAAATATCCTTGTTTATTGTTTGTTTATGTTTTATTTATCACAGTTCTTGTAAGATGACGGGGTCGAGAGCAGTGTTCCTGCTTTTGACGACAATTATCGGGTTAGTGACAAAAATATAACAACAACAAATTTAAAAATCATGCTTATAATTGATTACTTTTGTTCTCACGTTTTGTCAAAAAATTTTACTGATTTGTAGATATGAATATTTTTTGTCTGCTTTGAAACAAATGTCTTTCAATCCCGTTTTCGGAAAATTTAAAATTAGAAAATCCACTAACAAAAATCGTTTACAATTGAATTTTTTATGTATTTTCTCTTTGAGTTTAAAAGGACTGTAAAAATTATTTTAATCATTTGGAAATTTTTCGGAAAATTAATATTTTTATTTTTGATTGTTAAAAGAAAAAATGAAAAATGATTTATAGTTTGTGAATTATGAATTGTTTGCTGCTTATTTTTATAATTAATCTTATCATTATTTTATTGGTGTAAATAATTATATTTAATGCTATCTCTCTTCATATTTAAATACTTTAACATTTATGATTTCAATTTTGTTGCATAACTTGAATAAAGAATTGTAAAGGAATTGAGTTTTTGCAACAAACTCCAATTTTCAAACCCCTTCATCTGTGCAACCCAATGTCATAGACCTTCGATATTTCAAACTATGAATTCTGTTAGATCAAATAAGCGTGAAATATTAAAGGTTTACACTATCAGGTTGCGAAGATATATTGATATTAGAAAATTCGATTTTATAGTAAGTTTACTCAATTCCTTTGGACGTTAATATTTTTCAATAATTCCCTTTAATTCCTTAAATCCTTGTAATCCAGGTAATCCATTTAATCAGTTTAAATCCTTTAAATATGTTTAATCTCTTAATTCCCTTACTTTATACTTTTAATCCTTCAAAATTCTTCAATTTAGTCCTGTTGATTCTTTTAATTCTTTAGTCCTGTTGATTCTTTTATCTCTTTAGTCCTGTTGATTCTTTTATCTCTTTAGTCCTTTTGATTCTTTTATCTCTTTAGTCCTGTTGATTCTTTTATCTCTTTAGTCATGTTGATTCTTTTATCTCTTTAGTCCTGTTGATACTTTTATCTCTTTAGTCCTGTTGATTCTTTTAATTTCTCTAATACCTTTAATTGCTTTAATCCCTATAATCTTTAATCTATTTAATTCCTTTAATCCCTTTAATTTCTTTTTTCCTTTTATTTCTATAATCCGTTTAAAATATGTAGGATACACTCCCAGGATGTGACTGTACCAGAAGCAAAGTTTTTTGTTGCCGGGTCTGGGCTTCGAGTAGAGGTAAGCAGAGAGAACGGTGTCATAACAATTGGACTAATTATCGATCGGACTTATGTTCATTTGGACAAACGTTCATAATGACTATCAGTTTTAAGTTTTTTACACACAAAATTAGGAGACCAAGCGCTGCGGATAGGACGGGTTAAGGGGTGTTTTACAGATTTAAATGGACTTCCCAATCGATCCCCATTCTAACTATCTTTCAAATGTTAATTGAAATAATTTGTTTTTGTTTTGTTTCTTTTTCAGGCTTGTTTTGTAATTTGTTAGAAACGTCATCGAATCGGTATTTGACAAATGACAATTATTTTATTAAGCTTGTATGATCATTTTTTAACACTCAATTTTGTTTGCTAGGTGGCTGATGTGAGTGGAATGACTGATGTCCAGATTCACTTCAGGTTATAATAAAATCTATCAGCTTGGGAACCTAGGGTTGCCCAGGTTACTCCTAGTTCTTCCGCCATTCACCCGCGCTTGATTCTATTGTAGCAGGAAAATGATGTTTTGATCTTTCCTGCGACTGTAAATAGCATTTTGTTTGTCA